CATTTTTCAAAAATTCGTGGTCGTGTGCTTTGACGATATTTTTTTTCCTTGTTTTTTTCTTACTTTTTCTTCCGTTTAGTTCTGAAATCAGGAATGGCATGACTGGAAAATATTTTTCCTAGCTTTTCTACCAGCAATTTTCACTTCTTCGTAAGATTTTTCTTTAGCGTACGTATCCTCTACCTCGTTTCTTCTCTATTTCTCTTCCCTTTTCTCGCAGACGTCTAACAATTTTCCTTTTTCCTTTTTCCTTTTTCCGCACACAGTCATTTTTCTCCTTGATTCGCCTTCTAGCGATGCATTCCCGATGTTTGAACAAGAGAAGGCGAATATTATTCCGTCGAGTACTGGCGTTCTCGATCTTTCCTAGAACTCGTTGGCCTTTGAGAAAGACGCAAGGAGAATTCTTCCTTTTGCGAGTATCCAACCCGCCACATATTCTATCTTTCTTATACTACCAAACATTCGCAGAGAGAAAACGAACTAGACTTAACCCCGTTCCTCCTTTTTTTCCGCAAGGAATTCAACCACCTTCCAAAGGAAAAATTCAACGCGTGCCAAATGTCCAACTGACTTTGCACGCCAGATAATAAATTATATTGCATTATTTAAACACTTATATTATCAGGGTACACAGGTCGTCTAGAATGGGCAAGTCAGATCGATATTTGCACACCCCCTTCCTCCCTTAGAGGAACGGGTTCGTGTGCCAACAAAGGCGACCTCTCAAAAGAACATTCAACTAGCACCCAAGATAAAACGATGATCCCCTCTCGATTGGTCCCTTTTTGATCTTCGTATTTTACGTTTGATGAATTTCAAATGACGTATATAGGACGGAGGTCAAGTTTTCCACGGTTAGATACACGCTTGATTCGACCTTTATAAAAATCGACCTAAGATATTGCTATCGTTTCACATTTCCCAAACGGCATTACCCCCCCATCCCCATTCCCATCCCCATCCCCATCCCCATCTCCATCCCCCTGGGCCTACTGGATTATATATTTTCCGAGAGAGAACGTCCGAAAACCGTCGGATATTTATAAGTATGCTAATTTTATCGCGTTCGTTCGAAATAACGGGCTCGTAGTAGGGTATCAAGGTGAGCATGAGGGTGGAAGAGGGAGGAGAAGGATAGGGGGTACGAGATTAAGGGTGTTAGTTTGGGGAGGTCGATGCTTTGCAGGGAGAAATGTGTAAGCGTGAAAATTCATTTAACCACGACCAATACATGAGCGCACACCCTAGCTAGCTTGCAAATTACGCGTTTCACGTTACGCGTTGAAGATAACTGGAAGTATGAACGAAAAGAGAAAATACACCTCCTCCGGGGTTGGAGGAGGTATGGATTTGTCTCGATCAGAGGTTAAATGGATTTTCAATTCCATTAGTATTCCTGAAGTATCAATACTAAAGTTATCCTTGCTGCAATTAACCGATTAAAAATTGGATATTTTTTAATTATGCGCGGTGCTTTTTGTTTTTTGCCCGAATATTTGTTCAGAGTCTTAAAGTGCTGCTGTTTTTCGCATCGTCTACTTTAGCATATGAAAAGGATGTGGGTAATTTAACTGCTCGATAAAAGCAGCTTTACTCGGTAACGCGCGCGTTGGAAAGGGTTAATTTGAGAATCTCCGTGCATATCTACTATCCCTCACTAGCTTCGAGAAAGTTTATTACGATAAATAGCTAAAAAGGGTGCGTGTAGTACAGCCCTTTTATCTTCTATCCTACCCTATCCTATTCTATTCTATTCTATTCTTTTACCCTTCGGCATACTTGAATTTCTTCGCCGTACTCGTAAAAATAAACGTTGAATTTCAAAAGTGAGATTAACAAGAGCCGAACTTCTCTCTCTTTCTCTGCTGAAATATTATATCGTACGGAATGGCTTGAATAAATTTCAAGAATTACCTCTCGAAGGTAGTGACTTGGCTTTGTTTTCATTTCATTTTTCATTTTATGCTTGAATATACACATATTTCGTTTAAACATTAATACGTATTACAGTAACGACATCGAATGCCAAATATCTGGATTAAAAAAAAGGAAGGATCAAAAGTATAATTGCATCGGTGCAACAAATAAGATCACATGAGATTAAAATAATAAAAATTGATGAAATTGAAGAAATGTACTCGGTAGATAGAGGAAAATGGGCGCACGGATGGGCGCACGGATGGGCGCACGGATGGGCGCACGGATGGACGCGCGGATGGGCGCACGGATGGGCGCGCGGATGGATGCACGGATGGGCAAGATTTACCATTGTAAATTGGTAACTACAGCCGAAGCTTAACCACTCGTACGTACGTAATACGTGCTTCTCGTTGGTAGTTCGGGCTCGCGTACTTACGATAATTCGCTTTGCTAATTTTCAATCGCAATACGTGACGGCCGGTAGGTAGCAGGCGAATGCATAAATATCTGCACAACCGACATTCCTAATTGCAGAGAGAAATATTGAAACACATTTACGAATCAACCTATTTTTTCTTACTTTTTATTCTATTATTAAACCATATGATTTTACAAACGTGTACTTCTTTAAATGAGAAAAGAGATATCTGTTTTACGTTTAAAAATTAGCGAACTTTAAGCAGCACGTTGCCCAAACGGAACACTCTACTTAATGTGTTAATTAAATTGATAAACGATTCGAATTATCCTATTAACTTAATTTTAATTTTAAGAGAAAGACGAATAAATGTAATATATTATAAAAGTGGGGTGGTGGGGGGGGGGAGAGAGAGAAGATTTGGAAGGTTTAATAAATTTCATTGAAAACCTTTTATAAAATAAAATCCAATTACGTTAATGCACTCTATCACGCGGCTGAAATATTATAACACGATGGAATTTATAAACCAATTAAAAATAATTCATAGTATACTTAATCTACATAATTGATGTGCTTCTTATAAATTGTCAAAGTTTGTGGAAACAGAATTATACTCGAAGAATCGTAAACAACTGATATCATTGTAAAGTATAAGAAAATTCTAATGATTTAATAAACGGAAAGAGAAGGGATGAGTTTTTTGTAATAATAAGCTTAATAAATTCCATTTAAAAGCTGTTATATAAAATACAAGAAAATTATGTTAATCCGTATTAGAGAAATAATTGATTGCATATGAAACATATGCAATAAACGTAAAGAATGGAAATATTTAGTAAAAAAAAATGTCTTCGCGTAGATTAGAAAGAATGGCACGAATGATGTAAACGTATCAGAAGTTCTTAGCGTTAGGATATACACGAGGAAGATTAATATATTCGATGTAATAAACGCGCGGATAGATAGTAGTAAGGAGGAGGAGGAGGAGGAGGAGGAGGAGGAGGAGGANAGGAGGAGGAGGAGGAGGAGGAGGAGGAGGAGGAGGTGGAAGAGGAGGAGAAAGCACTGCACTGCGGTACAGTATATACAATCTCGTTTCGTTGCTAACGCTCGTTGTTACGCGCAAGTGTGTGTGCGTAATCGCGATGCACCCAAACCGTACACATATGTACGTTTACATCGAAAGATGATAGTGACGCGGGGTTGTATATAGAAGCGTATGCACCCGGATAGTGTTGCTAGAAATAGAGAGATACTAAGAGGAACCTGTTGTCCACAAAGGACCCGTTCCACCGTTACTCTCGCACTTGTATCTATTTGCATGGAAGACGTTAGTGGTTTACGTGTATTCGATGTTAGTCGATTGTTATTCAAATCGCAAATTTGTCATCAAAATAGTTTCCCTACACTTTGCTCTTTCTTTCTAACGTTTTCTATTACTTGGGAGATTGCTAAATCCACGAAGCCTATATACGATCGCAGAAAATGTCGATAAATCATCCTATGTATCTGTAAACAAATTGTCAAATGGAATCAATTTATCTTTAACTCAATTAGTATAAAAATGGAATAATACTGCATGTAAAATGTAATACTGCATGTTACCTTAGACAGTTAACCACAAAATCAACAATATAAAATAACCTGTTGAGCTGTAAGAAAATTAATCCTAATCCTTTGATTAATCCTTAATTAAATTAAGGCTTAATCAAGATTAAAAGAAAAACATCAAAGAGAAGTATTTGTTTCATTTGTTCATTTATAAAATCACACGTACTTAAATCTGAACTTCATTTGCAAAATCAATCAAACTTCAAGAGAAAAAACTTCAACGCAATTTCTTTCATAAATGCACACGAATCTATACATTTGACGATTATTTTCCATTGCACATTCTATACGATTAATTTCTTTCTACGTTTTATATAACAATTATAAAGTCGTTCTATATATTTTTGTTCGTCCTAGATTTTCCTAATTTTCTATCTTCGAACGAATCACAAAAATTCGTAGAACGAGAAAATTATATTCGTAGCTCGTGTAAATTCTCTACGTTATTAATATTTATAAATAATTATAATAATAATAATAATAATAATAATAATAATAATAATAATTATTATTATTATTCTTATTATTATTATTACACGTGTTATCGTACGTGCAACTTCGTTGCCAAAGTCTCGCGCGCATACAAAATGTAAATGAGAGAGAATAAATTATTATTCGTTGTGAAACTGAAAAGTAGTTTCGAGTTTAATCATGTTGTAATATGGTCGATAAAAATTTCATTCTGTTGGGGAATTACGAAGGACCAATTAGAAAGCACGAAAGGCAGAGAGAGAGAGAGAGAGAGAGAGAGAGAGAGAGAATGGGAAAGCATGCTTTTTTATTTAGCTCGTTAAAAAATTTGGTTATTTCGTTTAATCCGAGTAAACTTGCTTACAATGCTTTGGTTTTTTTTTCCAATCGTGTAATTTTGTTTATTTTTTGTCGATGCTAATAAGCGATTCTTGCTGGACAAGTTGAAAGTAAATCCAAATGGAATTTTTGTCAATTTTGTGACCTTTTGTCACACTGTTGCGTACTGATTGACGTAGATTGGGCCAAAAAATGCATAAATAATTATCATTGCATTTATAATTTACTGTTACAGATAGTGCAGCACATGGTATACGTCGTTTAAAAGCAGACATTTTCCAAGAATGGCCGTCGCAAGGAAAAGGACCGTACTTCGATACTTCGGTGCCATCGAATATGACCGGCTTGGTTGGGAAAACTATTCAACTGGTCTGCAAAGTGAAGAATCTCGGAAACAGAACAGTAACTACCTACTATCGTATAACGTTATAATATCTTTTCTCATTCTTAAACATAGAATACGTTAATTACGTCATTCTCGACGAAAAACTTTTCCTATGAATATAACATATTACAGAGAACAAATCTATTTTCTCAACGATATACGATTGCATCGAAGAAATTAGTCGATATTTATTACAATTTCTAATCCCCACGTGATTCTTCCAACAGGAAGAAAAAAGTATTATACAAATATAGGACGCGCGTTGGAAGAATCTTTGTTAGGTCTTTGAAAGCTTTGAAAAGCGTCGCGAAAGTTTTCACGGGTTTTAGGAAAGACGATTAAGTCGAAAAAGAGAAAGAGAAAGTTCTCTTTTCGTTGTAAAGGTACGATATTATATAGAGTGCCGCTTGCGGGTTACTAGTTTTAATCCAGAAACTCATTTCTATGCAAAGCTCGGTTGGTCGCATTTATGCCTTTCCCGGAAGTACTACGTGTATACCATCTAATATGTTTCCTTGATAACGCACGTTTTCTACTTGTTCGCTTGTTCCTTCTTCGACGCGGTGCGAGTAAAATTACCAAGATCGCGGCTACATCAAAATCCCACCTATCTTTTTCTTTCAAACGTAAACAATTCCGGAAAAAGAAAAATTATAACTCGAAAATATTTATAATTGTGGGATGAAAATTTACGATTGCCATGTTTCATTCATTTGTACAAACTTAAATGTAGCACAAGGAATTATACTAATAATATTATTTAACCGAAATTAACGAGGTCCAATATTACGCACGATTTTCCGTCTAAAAACGAAACGGTGAACCACCAAGAGCTGACACGAATAAACGTGGAATGTTTTTATATGGGTGGAATTAAAAGCATAGAACGTGTGGCACATATTTATACATATGTATAAATATGTACACCTATAGGTAAATAGATGTACTCGTATATGCATTTATATGTACAAGAATTCTCGATTATAAAAGAAATCACGAGTTTTCCTTCTCGTAATTACTACCAATAATATTTTTCAAACGAATATCGAACGTGTTGGAAATTTTATCCAATCGCAAACGTGACTACTTTAAAAGTACCATTGTCATTAAGGTTTCGACAAGGATTTTTTGTATTTATTATTTGTGGTATCATTGCAATTAGAGCAAGAATACGACTAATTAATTTCTCTAAATGGCTAACGTTCATAATTCTGCACACCCATCGCGATCATCTTAACGCAAACTTTGAATAATGATAGGATCAAAAAGAAATAAAATAATAATAGAAATCCTATATTAAATTCGTTCAACACAAAATATATATCCGTCCTATCCAATTTTAGAAAATCGAAATAACAAGACAATGGATCGTGTTCCGCGTCTATATATGAATTTATTTAAACACAATGAAAAAAGAAAAAGTAAAAGAAGAAAGATAAAGGTAACAAATGATTTCGGATTTATTCGCATCTCGAATATCTCACATATTCTATAAACCCCATTATGAAAATAATTGTATAATAGGATAACGGTATATTCGCATAAGCGAATTATATATACGTATGTATATATGCTCGCTCATAGAATCGAGAATGGGATTAAACGGGAAAATTTGAAAGTACCCTTCGGACAACACCCCACGGACAACACCCCTCGGACAATACCCCTCGGACAATACCCCTCGGACAATTTCCCGAAGCAAAAGTTGAAAATTCAGGACGTTTCCAATATTAATGATCGTAAATTCGAGGCTCGTTAAATAGGACTTAGGATTATCCACCGTGGTTTGACTACAAAGTCATTTCCACGAAAACAATCTTATTTTGTAAATGTGTGTGTACATGCTATGTAAGTATGATACATACGCAAAGTGTTCTAAATTCATTTATTTTGCTTGAAAGCTTTCTTATCCTTAAACCCTTAGAACAAAGCTACACGCAGGATGCAATATTGTATCTACGCAAAATTGGTCTTACTCGCGAGCCGTCCTTAGGCGTGCCCTAGGCGTGCCCTAGGCGTGCCCTAGGCGTGCCCTAGGCGTGCCCTAGGCCCAAACACTAACGCTAATACAAATTCCTTTACTCAGTACCCAATAATTAAATACGCGATAAAAGGGATGTGCATGCAACGCTCTAAAACCACCTCATGCAATTTCGAGATAATGCAATTTGACATTCTGTAATTTGTGTTTGTTTTTGCAATTGAGTGAAAGAAATCAATAAAATAATGAATAATACTTTTAGGTTTCGTGGGTAAGGCATCGAGATATTCATTTGCTAACGGTGGGACGGTATACTTATACCAGCGATCAACGTTTCGAAGCAGTACATACACCTCTATCAGAAGAGTGGACATTGAAAATACGATATCCTCAGAAAAAGGATTCCGGCGTATACGAATGCCAAATTTCAACGACCCCACCTATAGGACTTCCAGTTCATCTCACGATAGTTGGTAAGTTATCCAATTCCAAATGATTTCTATTAGATGTGCGTGTCCATTCATTTCACACATTTATTTGTTCAACAAATCTACTATTTATTTATAAAGTTATCATCATGCGTCTCTGTAATTCTTACGAATAGTTTTCATTCATTTCCATTACTTTAGAATACCCCTTTTTCTATTTCGATTTAATCCCTCCCAAAAGTATCGACATATTTTTTAACGAGAATTCGTTAAAATCGCGAATATCATGTATATTAAACACCAAGAAATATTTCAATAGACGAAAAAAGCATTTTCATATAGTAAAATGAAATTTTTGTTAATGTAATATTTTATTCAATGAAAAATCTATTTTAAAATCTTTTCACAAGGAATTTCACGTCAAATGAATTATTTCCGAGTTCGCGATTAAAACTTAATATTAATTCATAGAAATAATATATAATGGAAAAATTAGCAAGTCTCTCTCTTTCTTTTAACCCTTCCTTGTTATCGGAGATAAAGTGTATATGTGTAAGTAAAAATGATGAAGCAACTTTTAAAAAATGCCGGCAAAATCTGAACGGAACATATATGAAGGATTGAGCGAATCCTCAATGTACAAAATGTACATTGCTCAATTGTTAGTGGACATTCTATAAAATGTCCGGATTCTGTACATTGGCTGTAACATATTTATACATATACATATATATATATATATATATATATATATATACATAGTTACATTAACCTATGTAAATAAATAGCCGTTCTAGTTTATCTCGTAGAAGGAAGATTGAACATATCCTTAATGGAAGTAACACCACATGGGACCCGATCTCGCTCGGTTATATCTTACGCAGATACGCTTTGAAATGGAATTTCGTATCCACTCGGTCGCTCGCTTTTCTTTATCGCATCGACACTCGCTTTGAGAAAGAATTTAATCAGTCTCTCTTCTATTCAGGGATGGAATATAGAATATTTTATACTCTTTTTTTTTTCTTTTTTCTTCTAACTATTACGTCGAAGAACGAATTCGAAATGTAGTTATCTTTTTCTCTCGCATATAAATTTCGATACTACTATTTTTCTTTTCGCAATTTTCCTGTCTGGTATGGAAGTATCTGATATCATGTAATAACGCTATGCTTTGAAATAAAAGAAATTTGTTTGTTTTTCAACGAGAGAAAAAGAAAAAGAGGATACTTTAGTAAAGTAACATAAGTTGCATAATTAACAATTTAATACAAATCTTTGACTTATGATCATCGAACATTTGTTGTTGTCGAATTTTTGTCGATTAATATAGTATAAAATACCAACTAAAAACCAATCGAAACTTGTGAAATATATTATGAAGAAAATCGATCCTATTTAATTCGTTTATAACGCGAGAGTATTCTCAAATTGCTGCAAGGCGAATACACAACATGCGTGCCTTTCCGATATAATCTTTTTCGATTATCGATACATTTTTTTGAAAAAAAGCGAAGAATATTCCGATAAACTTTGTTCTCTCTCGCACACTTCACTCACTCACTTTTCTTTCGCTCTCTCTCTCTCTCTCTCTCTCTCTCTCTCTCTCTCTCTTTCTTTTGTCTAACTTTTCAATTCTTTTTTTTCTCCTCTTAATTTCTCTTGAAACTTCCGATAAAACTCTCATCCGAAAGATTTTACTTTGAAAATCGAATTTATTTCGTGAAAGCTTTCCTATTGAGTAAAGTCGTCTTGTATTAAAGTATCATAGAAAAAAAATGCCTGTAGATCGAATTTTGTCGATAAAAAAAATGTCAATAAAAATTGTACATACGCCGTTAGACGAGAAATATGTTACTAATGGTGCCCACGCGCAAACGATTCATTCTAATAAATGTTATTATTCAGACATGCTCGCAATGTATTGACGTTTATTCGATAATAAACGTAATCGATATTACGGCAAAACTTTTAAGAAAAACTCTTGAAGGATAGAAATTTTGTAAGTATACCATTCTTCGATTACGCGTTTGAAGAGCAAGTGTACCACCTGGCACGCAAGTACCGGCAGCTTGCGGTATTGCTAACTTTTTTCATGGGCGATTAAATAGTTTGACCATTTAAAAGTTCCTTTTCTCTTGTTCGATAAACGCGTATTGGCTAACTAAATTGTTTATTTCTATACAGTTCCAGCATATTATATACATTTTTGTTTTCTCAATTCCAAGTAAATGAAAAAGTTCAATTGATTTTTATTATTCCCGTGTTATTTTAAATCACTCATTCAATTTTGAAATATTTCAGCAACGAGTGGTAAATGTAAAATGTTATATTTAATAATGCTTTAACGTCGAAAAAGCGCAATCTAAAATAAATAGTCGAGGAGAGAGATTCAAATAAGCGTTATTAAATGTAAAGTAAGCGTTATTAAATAAAACAAAATAAATAAATAGCGAATTTTCGAATGATTTGTCATCGTTCCACGGATTGAATTAAATATCAATTCTCGGCTGAACAAATTTCACAATTTTCATTTGTTTTTTGTCGAAACAAAAAGAAGTATAAAAAAAACACTTGATTGCTTTCCGTTCTACTTCGCGGACATACTAAACTTGTTTGTTGTTATGTCTTGTGTTCCCATTTCTATATAGCAAAGTTTAGTTCAATTGGAATTGTTGCTCTAACGTAGTAAGACGATCGGAGGAAGTGTAACTCTAGCCGAATAGAAAAGAAAGAAGGAAGAAAAAAGTAGAGAGGAAAGCGGGGAAAAGTGAGGGGCAAAGGGGAGGGGAGGAGGTTAGATGAAACGAGAGATCGATAAGTAAGATACTTACTATCGGAGTGTTTCACTAGAGTGAAGTAAAGTAACTCGATTTGTTTCGAGAGCCTAGTATAGTATTCAATTTCTCATGTCAAGAAATTCTTTCGTGATTATCTGTTTTTGACAAAAACAAATCTATTTTTCAAACTTTCTTTTTAAAAGTAGTTCAATTCTCATCAGAGATGTTTCCCTGTTAATTCCTATCCGACCATTTCTTGTGAAATCGCGCAAATTCGGTTATTAATAATGTGAGCAGACATTAAATTAATTTACTTTATTTTGTTTTATGTTTTTACACTGTCAATTCGTTTAATTTCCATGTCAGAAATCAACGAACAGATAATAATAGAAACGTCGTTTTATCGAGAAAAATGACAAATATAGATTTGCATATTTATGTAGATATTTTTGAATTTGTCTACGAAGTGGCAAAAAGGTAGAAAGAGTATAGGCAAATTCTGTCAAAGGTAGAGAGAATAAATATAATTCGAGGGATAGAAGAAAGGAGCAAAAATAAAAGGGTGGACAAAAATAGGCAAAGGGAGAGGAGGGGGAGAATGAAAATCCCAAAAAACTGGAAAAAGTACAATTCGTAACTTTTATCATTCCGTTTGATTCTATTTCAGGTATATTCTATCCGTTTCAAATATTTTGTTATCTTTTTATCATCCCTTTCTTTCCAGTCTCTCATTCCTTCGCTGAGGAATCTTCGCTCCTATTACTTTTCCAACAACGACGAAGGAACAGAAAGTTTTTACTTTGTTCAAATTTTCTTTTTTATCCACATTTTTTGTTGTCGTTGTTAAATATGATATACTTGGGCCAATATTCTGCGTCAACTGGGTTTCTTTTCTCTTTGAAATTTTCTAACGCTTACAATATTTCAAGAGAAGATGTATACTTTGTTAGAGTTTGATTTTTTAATATCAATTAAGCCGATATTACTGAAATTTTAACGTTATGGCTCGTTTCTATCAAACATTATAATAAGAAAAAATATTTCACGAATATATATATGATAACAAAATTCAACGTAGAATCTACGAAGACTTTCCCCTGTATATGAATTCTTTTAGACGAATTCTGCGAATTCGTAAAACCACCAATCGTACTTTTAATATACTTTACAAACTATTCAACAATAAAATCATTTTATATTAGCATACTTCAGATGCATGCATCGCAATATTAACTCCTATGACAGACATAAATGATCAATGGTAGACAATGTACGATTGTTAAATCAAATGGAAAATTATTCGAGCTAAGTGCAAAGTTTCTAATCAAAATCTAATTTCGTGGTAATTACGATTTCTAATTTCTAACAGTTACATACATAGTGTTATTATTGTAATATAGTTGTTTCTGATTTTCTACTATTCGTACGAATTCGTTTTTATTTTTGTTCGTTTGATGATTTCACTTTCTACATAAGCAAAATATTAGATTCAATTGATAATTATCCAACGATGTGGAGTTCGTGACCAGTTATCAAGCACTTAATTAGTAACGACTAATTAGCTTTCCCCCATTAGCATGAATATCCTTTGTAGAGATTTCTGTGTATGTGTATGTACGTGTGGGTATGTTAGTTCTATAATTTCTGTTCTGTGTTCTCTCTCTCTTTCTCTCTTCTGCTTAGTTTGACGTTGACGGAAGAAGCAAGAGTTTTGAGAGAAAGCTTCTTTCTACTTTTTAATGATGCAATAACTTCTAAGAGCAAGTAAAACGTCCTTTTTGTTAATTCTAAGCTCTATCGATTTTACTTCACTTTGCACTTACTACCCGAATAGATTATTAAACGTTTAGGATACATGGGTATCGTTAGGAAACACGCGGTATTTCTTAATCTTGATAAAAGTAATCTCAATGATATTTATTAAAACATATTTAACGTTCGTGTTCATTTGATTGCGTATAAAATGGAAGAAAGGGATTCGAATATATTTGAAAGAATAATCACCACAAAGGGATATTTAGTAATTTTGGAAAAGGATCGTTTATTCGAAAGTTGTCGAGGTCTTTGTAACGACTAGGGAAGAGAAGGAAATTTAGCAAAGGACCTAAAGGAAGAGATCCGTCGTGCAAACAGTTGGTCCTGTGCAAATCGTCAGACAGGATTAGAAAACGAAATACTCGAATCAAGGATTTCGAGGGAGAAGAGCTTGCTGAAACTGCTTTCGGATAATTTCTCGAGAGGTACCGAGATTTCTCGATAATCGTA